TAATAATAATAATAATAATAAAGGCAATTAATATTAGCAATAATTAATAATTATACCAAAATAATCCACAATCGAACGGGGTATTACAGTCTATCCACCTTACAAAGAATTTCGTCCTCGGAATTCGAAAACAAAACTATAAAGCACTAAAATACAAAGGAAAACTCAAAACTCAAAGTTCGGATATCGCCTCCGAAGCTCGGCCTCCTTTTCCCAAGTCGCCTCCGACTCGTCATGACGGCTCCAAAGCACCTTCACCAAGCTCACTGCCCGGTTCCTCAACTGATGGACCTTCTGGTCCAATATGGCTACCGATACCTCCTCGTAGGTAAGGTCTCACACGACCTGCAGTTCGCCGAAGTCCACCACGTGAGTGGGATCATGTACGTATATCCGCAACATAGAGACGTGAAACACGTCATGCACTCCCGACAAGTTAGATGGTAAAGCCAGCCGATAAGCTAAATTCCCGACTCGGGCAAGGATCTCGAATGGCCCAATATAACGCGGTCTAAGTTTCCCCTTCTTCCCGAAGCGAATCACGCCCTTCATAGGAGAAACCTTCAGGAAGACATGATCTCTGACGACATACTCATGCTCATCCCTCTTCCGGTCGGCATAGACTTTCTGCCTCTCTTGGGCTGACCGGATATGCTTCCGGATAGCCTCAACTCTCCGCAGCTCTAAGAATGAACTCCGGACCCATGATCTTCCTCTCCCCGACCTCATCCCAGTACAAGGGTGTTCGGACCTTACGTCCATACAAAGCCTCGAATGGGACCATCTTGATCGTGGAGTGGTAGCTATTGTTGTAAGTCAGCTCGACCAAAGGCAAGGCACTCTCCCAGGTTAGGCTACGGTCCAAGACCACAACTCTCAATATGTCCTACAAGTACTGGATTGTCCGCTCCGACTGGCCATCTGTCTGAGGATGAAAAGCTGTACTGAACTCCAGCCTCGTCCCCATGGCTCGGTGCAGGGTCTTCCAGAACTTGCAAGTGAACTTCGCGTCTCGATCAGACACGATCTCCACAGTAACTCCATGAAGCTTGACAATCTCATCCACGAACAACTCGGCATACTGACTAGCCTTCATAGTCGTCCGGACTTGCAGAAAGTGGGCCGACTTCATAAGGCGATCCACAATCACCCAAATAGAGTCATGCCCGGTCCTCGACCTTGGCAATCCCACTAAGAAATCCATGGTGATGCACTCCCACTTCCACAAGGGAACCTCAAGTGGCTGCAACTTCCTTCTCGGTTTCTGATGCTCAGCCTTCACTTGCTGACATACCAGACACCCATTCACGAACCTTGCCACTTGCCACTTCATACCTCGCCACTAGAAAGACTTCTTCAAGTCCTGATACACTTTCGAACTACCAGGATGGATGGTGTACGGGGCACTATGGGCCTCTCTCAAAATCTCCCTTCGCAATTCCCACACCTTCGGAACACAAAGTCTACCCTCGAAGACCAAGGCCCCATCAGATGCGATTGTGAATCCTCCAACTCTACCAGCTTCCGACAACTCCTTCATCCGGCAAAAGAAACGATCATTCGGTTGCTCGGCGACTATCCTCTCACGAAGAGTCGGTCCCACAACTAAAGAGGTCAACATACCCCTGGTTGTCGAAGGTGACTCCACTGCCTCTAGCTGTAGCCGCTCGAACTCTCGAAGAAGGACATCTTGCTCAGTAAAGAGACAGGACAACTGCCATAACTCCTCCGACTAAGGGCATCGGCCACCACGTTAGCTTTCCCCGGATGGTAGCTAATCGTGCAATCGTAGTCCTTGACCAGTTCCAACCACCTACGCTGCCGCATATTTATCTCCTTCTGAGTGAAAATGTACTTTAGGCTCTTGTGGTCGGTAAAAATCTCACACTTGCCTCCATAGAGGTAGTGTCGCCAAATCTTCAAGGCGTGAACGACTGCTGCTAACTCAAGATCGTAAGTGGGGTAGTTCTGCTCGTGAGGCTTCAGCTGCCTCGAAGCATAGGCTACAACCCTCCCCTGCTGCATAAGGACACATCCCAAACCCATCTTCGAAGCATCACTTTAGATGGTGAACTCCAAAGTAGGGTCTGGAATGGACAGAACGGGTGCGGTAGTGAGTCTCCTCTTCAACTCCTGGAAACTCTCCTCACACCTAGAACTCCAATTGAACCTCACGGCTTTCTTCGTAAGGTTGGTTAGTGGCTGGGCTATCTTCGAGAAACCCTCGATAAACCTCTGGTAGTATCTTGCTAACCCCAGGAAACTACGAACATCAGCGGCACTTCTTGGTGTATCCCACTTGCTTACTGCCTCGATCTTGCTGGGATCCACCTCTATGCCTCGAGCTGTCACAATGTGGCCAAGGAATGCCACACGATCCAGGCAAAACTCGCACTTCGAGAACTTTGCATACAACTTCTCGCGACGAAGAGTCTCCAGCACAATCCTCAGATGCTCCTTGTGCTGGTCGATGTCTCGGGAATAAACCAGGATGTCGTCGATAAACACAATGACAAATTGGTCTAAGAAAGGATGAAAGACCCTATTCATAAGGTCCATAAACACGGCCGGGGCATTGCTAAGTCCAAATGGCATAACCACGAACTCATAATGGCCATAGCGGGTACGAAAGGCAGTCTTAGAAATATTAGACTCTCGGATTTTCAGCTGATGATAGCCAGAACGCAAGTCAATCTTCGAAAAGACGCTGGCTCCCCTCAGCTGGTCGAAAAGGTCCTCGATGCGAGGAAGAGGATACTTGTTCTTGACTGTAAGGGCATTCAACTCCCGATAGTCAATACACATGCGCGTCGATCCGTCTTTCTTCTTCACGAATAGGACGGGTGCTCCCCATGGAGAAACACTCGGTCGAATAAAACCGAGATTAAGCAACTTTTGAATCTGAGCCTTGAGCTCCTGAAGCTCCTTTGGCGCCATACGATAAGGGGCCTTAGACACGGGACCAGCTCGCGGTACTAAATCAATGGTAAACTCAATCTGGCGATCAGGCGGTCCTCTGGGCAATTCATCAGGAAAAACATCAAGGTATTCGCAAACAATAGAAACTCGCTCCGGAGTTCGCTCAGAATCATTCTCGGCTACCACAGATACAAGATAGCCTTGACAGCTACCCTTGGAAAGGCTCTTCCTAGCTTGCATAGAAGAGATAACACGAGGTACAGTCCTCGATTTCACCCCAAAGAAAACAACTGGCTGATCGGAATCAGGAAAGAGAGTGGCTTCGCGCTCTTGGCACCGGATGTCAGCTCGATAGCGAGTGAGCCAGTCCATGCCCAAGATTACATCAAAGTCTCACATTTCATTAACATAAGCATCAACACCCAAAACTCGACCGCCGATAGAAACAGAAAGATCACAAACCAAGGAATCGGAGATGATAATTTTTCTCGAGGCTAGACTAACCTCGAGAGGATCGACTTTGCACACACTACTAATAGATAGAGCCTCAAGGCAACGAGAAGAGATAAAAGAATGAGTGGCTCTAGTATCACATAATGCAAAGACAGGCACATTCGATATAGAGAGCATTCCAGACATAGTACCTGCGTTGTTGGCCGCCTCATCATGAGCGATGGTATAAACAGGAGCCTGGCCCCCAGCTCTCTGCTGATGTGGTGGGGGCTGCCTGAGCTGCTGCTGCTGGTAAGGTGGAGGAGGAAGCTGCTGCTGCTGATGGGGCTGCTGGTAAGGCTGCTGCCTCGGGGGTTCGTGGCAGTGGCTGAAGAAGTGACCAGGCTTCATGCAGTTGAAGCAAACCTTCTGAGTGAAACGGCAAACTCCATGATGATAGCGGCCACACTTAGTGCATTTCGGGTTCTGACCTTGGGCAGCTGGTGGAACGTCACGGCGGTCTGGTGCTCCACGCTTTCCATTTCAGTTATCCCGGCGGGAATCAAACTTTTTCTTACCCGAACTAGAGTCGGGTGGTGCAGAGGAAATATGCTGAACTAGCTGAGCAGAAGGGACGAAAGCATCGAGAGTCTGATAACTCTCAAGCTGGACGGCTCGGATAACGGTCTCATCAAATGAAAGATTTCCCTGGCTGGCAACATGCATACGGAGAGTTCGGTTCAGTCCATCTCGAAACTTGTGGGCCTTCTTCAGCTCAGTGTCCACCATATGTGGAGCAAAGGCACTCATGCGGGTGAACTCCTGCTCGTACTCCTCAACGGTACCAGTCCCCTGAGTAAGATCCCAGAAAGCGCGCTCCATCCTCATGCGATAACTCTGAGGATAATATTTATCCATGATCACCTCCTTCATGCGATCCCAAGTCAGGGCATTAAACTCCGCCTGCCTCAACCTCCAATAGCCGGACCACCATAGGGCGGCATCGCCCTTCAGCATATAACGGCCACAGACTACCTTCTGGGCGTCGGTGCACTGCAGCAAATCGAAATTCTGCTCTAACTGACGAATCCACTCCGCCACAGCTTCGGGCCCCTCGACCCCGGTGAAAGTCGGAGGGGTCAACTGGCGAAACTGAATCACAATATTGAGATGAGCCCCAGCCGGATTGGGAGCCTGCTGGTGAGGTGGAGATGGGGATGGGGACGGAGGTGGAGATGGAGTAGGCTGACGGTTGCGAGCATTACGACGAGCCATAGTTCTACATTGAAAGTGGGTCGAACAGTTTAGCACAATAATAAAAGAAGTCTAGAGTTCAACACTAGAGTTCGAATTTAAAGGTGGATTAGTCCTAACCCCGATTTCATTCCAATAATCAATAATCAAACAATATGCAATAATCTCAAAGTTATTCAGGTACTCGTACCTGAGCTGGCACGACGAGAGCGAGTGGTCTTAACATGAATTCGAAACACATAATCACATAATCAACTTTTTATATTTAAACCAGTCTACAAAAACGCAGACTGGCTCTGATACCATACTGTAACGCCCCACTTTTATTTGCCAAAATCCAGGATAAATTTTTCGAATTTATTTCAAAACCAATATTTGAGGCGCTACTTATTTTCAAAACAATAATCAATACTAAACACATTCTCAATACTCAGCAATAATCAATACTCATAATCCATATTAATATTTCAATAATGTCAATCCAATAATAAATTTTAGGGAAAATAATCCCTATCAATCATTCAATAATCCAGTACTAGTGAAAAACAATAATCAATAATGCAATAATATTCAAATTCAGTTTTTAAGGCGGAAGCATTTAATCAAATTTAAAGACCACCACTCGCGTCCCTTTCGCCGTGCCCGCTTAACTAACCTGCATCCATGAAGAGCAGGTGGGGATGAGCACAATAGGAAAATCGAGGTGCTCACAGCTATGCAATAACAATTTAAGTATGGTCGCAGCATGTATACGAATCAATAATTGTCCCATCTCCTATCAATAATCAATAATGGTCTCATGTGCACACCTATAGCAATAGACTACTGCCGAGCTATATACCGAACGCCTTCCTCGAAGGCCTTACAACGAGTGCCCGACCAACAGGAGCAATAATCCACCCCGAATGCCAAAACTCACTCCTTGGCCTTACATACGAGGATCACCAGCCAAGGCTCACGCCTTGACTGCCAACAGTAATAAAGGAGACTACCCGAAGGTACATTCTATAGCTACGGGGATAACCGTTCGACGGCCAATATAGCTCACATCGAAGGCTACATGGTTCACATGCATACTTTGATCATACCACAGCAAAAACAATTAATTAAAGCATAGCAAATTTTACAATTACAACCCCCCTGGTATCCGAAGGACGAAATCACAGTAATTTGAGGGAAAAAGGTAGGCCGAGACACAACTCGTCACACACCTACATTACACAAAATAGTCCTATGAAAGACTATCCAACACACGAGCACTCAACTACACTCATGTGATATAACTTAGCCACATAGTTCAACAACGACGCAAAATATGACTGTAGTTCATAAATAAAAATGAACAACTTGTATACCTCAGCATTTCCAAGATAACAAGAGCTATATATATGCTATTCAGGTGATTCTAAAACCAATGAGTAGCTAACACATAAATCTACAACTTTTATGTTGATCACTTAAGCCAAAAATAACTTTAAAATCGAGTTTAAGCATCAAACATTTAGGTCAAGAAATCTGCCAATATAATTATTATCAATTTATAGCTGTTCACTAAAATAGCATTATCTCATGTTATAAAACTCCAAACCATACAAACTCAAAACCTACAGAAACTACACTTGAAATGCTACAAGTTTTAAGAAGAGCATTTGTACAAATGACTATTTTAAGAGCCTCATTTCAGAGCATACATCCTGATAATAATCACAGCTAATGTTTTAAAAATCTGGGCACAACCCCTACTTGTAAAAATCATATAAAATCAACCAAAATTTTAAATTGCATGATTTTAACTCCCACTGAAAGATTATGATATGTACTACAGTTTTAGTGATGATCACATTATCATATATCCATATTAGGATCATCAAAATTAGCCGAACATCTTAATTACCAAAACTGCCAGGTTTTATAAAAACTGCATGCGTGATTAAATTCAAAAATTCATAATAAATTCAAATCAACTCCAAACTTCGAAATTCCAAATCTCAGAGAAAGCCAACAAAACATCATTTCATAAGAAGAACTCAACTTCAGATTATGAACGTTTGAGGGTCATTTTAGCAGAACAACAGGGTAGTACTTTTGGAGCTCATTCATGTTATAAACAAAGCGAACAAACGATGGAATGACAACTCGAAAATGATATCGACACTCCTAAACAAATCTAAATAATCACAGCAACATAATGATACACGTTATTACAAAAACGAAAGCTCCAATCATCCTCGTTAAGACACGATACCATGAACGATTAAACAAACGAATATATCGACAAAACTAAACAAATCCGACTTCTAACTAAGATTCGATAGCACGCACAACATCTATTCAATATCACGATGTTCGAGCAAACACGAGCACAAATACATCGAGAGGGTTCTCCGATTACCTTTCTTCGGGAACTACCCGCTTGGTTGGAAATCTTTCGGGACGAAAGGGGGCTGAAACGGCTATACAAATGCACCGACGGGGCTCGACGGAATTCAACGACTACGTTTAGCACTCCGACGAGACTCAACGGGACCCGACCACTGGAAACTCACGAGCAACGGTTGGAGGTCTTGCCGGAAATGTAAACTTAAGAGGTGATGGGCGATAAAGATGATGTGCGATCGTGGGATAGAAAACAAGAAGGAAGAAAAATGTTGCGTGGAAGTTGAGAGTCTGTGAGGGAGAGAAAAAGATTGATGTTGTCGAAACATATACACGCTAGAATTATTTGCAACGGTTGGAAGGATTTGAAGGCCATAATATTGTCATGAATAAAGAAATTAATATTGGCTTGAATTTCCTTAACAAAAGGATTAGTAATCCACTATTCAATGGCCATCAAAATAAAGAGAAGGCTTAATTTCCTTTCTCCCATTAAGAAAATGAATTAAGAGGTTGAAATTAAAAGGAAACTTAATACTAATAATAACTAAAAAAAATAATGAGGTTTAAATTATCACCAATAGTAATGATATAATGAGGCTTAAAAATTTTCTCAATTAAGAGACGACCATTTAAAATCCAAAGGAAGAAGAACAGGTTACGGGTCACGACCGGTTAAGGTTCACGGCTCACGATTCGGGTTTCCTCGGTTCGATACTTACGATATTTCGGCTCGATTTGATCAAACGGTAAATTAAAATAAAATCGAAACATCAATATTTACATATATATATATAAAATACACAATAATTATTAGTATATAATAATCATACACACAAATAACATTTATTTAATAATAATAATAAATATTTAGACATTTAATAATATTTAGGCATTTAGCAAACTAAATAATAATAATAATAATAATAATGATAATAATAATAATAATAATAATAATAATAATAATAATAATTATAAAGGCAATAAATATTAGCAATAATTAATAATTATACCAAAATAATCCACAATCGAACGGGGTATTACAAAAGTTTATCATGTCGAATAAGAATTTTCATGTTACAACAGTACATGATTAATCCTTAGACTTGAGGCACGATGGTAACTTTGTGCATATTACATTTTACTTTGATTTATCCTTTTGATTGCTAGCACAATCGTATAAAGGAATATTTGGGTATTATATTACTATGTATGGAAGTTTGTCAGTGGCCAGCAAAGGATTCGACACTTATGAGATAAGTGAATTTCCTATGTATTTCATAGTTAGTAATTAAAAGTCCTTGGCCAAGGCGGGATGAATAGAGATTCATAAATGAATTACTATACTTGAAATAGAATCATAGTTATAAAATCAATTGGGTTTCGACTTATAAATTCATACCCAAGATTTAATCGGGAAATTGGATGTCAAAAGGATTTTACATATATGGACTTGTAATTGAAATAGGTTTACTCGCTATTCACTTAATACTAGATTCATGCTACTTGCTAGATGATCCCATGATATGTGGGTTCTTGAATTAAGGAGTTAATTCATGAATAAGAGTTAATAAGATTAACTCAAATTACAAAGAGTTGTAAGCCCACTACTAGTATTAATCGTGAACCTAAAAGGTCACACTAAGTTTTGAATGAAAACAAGTTAAAATGATATTTCTAAAGAGTTAGAATTAATTGATAAAGATTAATTAAATAATATGATTATTTAATTAATTATCTAATTATGAATTAGATATCAATGAAAGGAATATTATAAATTAATCAATTGGATTGATTAATTGGATTTTGGATATTAATTAAGTAATTAATTTAATTACTAAATTAATAGTTGGATTTTAAAATATGATTTTAAAATTCAAATCAAAAATAATAATATGATTATTATAAAGAGAATAATATTATAATTATGTTGAAAAATATTTTTGAAAATATTATTTTATTATTTTATCTTTAATATGATTAAAGATTAAAAATAATGAAGAGACAAAATAATGGTGGTTGATGGTGGTTATGAACCACTCCACATTATTAATTAAAGTTAATATTTGGTATGATTATTTAAATAAAATATGATTTCATTTAAAATAAATAATTATCAAATATTGATTATTTTATACTAAAATGTTTAGTATAAATAGGTGCAAAATGTTTGCACAAAATGCTATGTCATTTTGAGAAATTTTTTCAAGAGTTGAAAAGAGAGAGAAAGAAGAAAAGTTATTCTAAATAAAAATTAAATTTAAGAAAGAGTTCTTAAATTATATTAAAATAATATTTTATCTTCCAATTAAATCATTTTAATATTCCTATATCGAAACCGATATTTTTCTACTAGCGAAGAAAGAGATATCGATGTTGGATTTCAAAAGGTGGACTATATTAGAGGGAAGACATTTGGATTCCTAAAGCGAGACGGGATTCAACCGGAAATTGATTTCCTCAATCATCGTCGATTTTGAAGGAGTTCAAAATAAAAGGTAATTTGTGAAATTATCATATCA